CATACATATATTCATTGTCGCATTCTTTTTCACTGTGAGCTACCGTAAGATCTTGTATATATTTCCCTATGCTATACAGTATAATCTTATTTAACTATTCTACACATACCTGTTGGTATCTACAAATTTCGAACTTCCAGTCTGTCCCTTCCCACCCTCCTCCCTCCTGGCAACCACAAGTTTGTCTATGTCTATGTCTATGTCTATGTCTATGAGTCTGTTTCTGTTTTGTATTTATGTTCATTTGTCTTTTTCTTTTTTCTTTTTTTTAAAGATTCCACATATGAGCGATCTCATATGGTATTTTTCTTTTTCTGGCTTACTTCACTTAGAATGACATTCTCAAGGGATATCCATGTTGCTGCAAATGGCGTTAAGTTGTCGCTTTTATGGCTGAATAGTATTCCATTGTATAAATATACCACATCTTTATCCAGTCATCTGTCGATGGACATTTAGGCTGTTACCATGTTTTGGCCATTGTAAATAGTGCTGCTATGAACACTGGGGTGCAGGTGTCTTTTTAAAGTAGGGTTCCTTCTGGTTATACGTTTTTCATGTTTACTTTCCTTGTGTCCATGTTACCTTGTCTTTCAGATATGTCAGTTTGTATTTCATGTACTTGGTGAGTCAGCACGCAGTTTCTTTTTTCCTTCATGACTGCTTTCTACACCCCCCCACCTCTATCTCGGCACCCAAAAAACTGAAGAGAGAAAGAAGTAGGAAAATAAACTGAGGAAAACAGTGTTATAGCCTATGGAATACTGTGTTTATTTTTAAAAATGTCTTTGTAATGTACATATTTATTTTTTTTTTGCCTTAAATAGAGTCCACTGGACATTGTAACTGGTGGTATATCTCCAGTAAGAGATTTTGATAGGCTTCTGCAAGACATGGATATTAATCGGCTTAGAGCAGTTGTCTTCAGAGACATAGTAAGTTACTGTATTTCTTTTACAAAATATATCAGCTAATAGCATATTTCCTCATAGGCCCGAAGAGTGAACACTCATTGTGATATAAAATAGTCGAGTAGAGATAGGAAGGCCTAGATACAAGTTCTCTTGACAGTGATTTTAGAATTTTAGAATATCGGAAAGTATTAATTATATAATTGGAGCTAATATATCAGAGTAGTGATACTAAAAAGAATAACACATTATTACATAGTAAGCACTGTAAGTGTTTTATATGTTCTCATTAGTTCCAACAACGTCTTGAGTCGTGTACTTTTGTAATTCCCATTTTATAAATGAGGAATTAGAGGCACAGAGAGTGTGACTAACTTGTTCAAGCCAATGGAACTAGTAAATGATAGGATTCAGACCCAGCGATCTGTGCTCTGAAAGTTTTGTATGATATGAAAGTATATGATGAAATGTGTGGTGTTTTTAATTTTTTAAAGATGAAAAATAGTTTTATTTTAGCTAGTTCGATATATAATATGGCAGAGTCTGGTGCAGAAAATGTAACATCATTTAAGAAAATATAAAGATGAGAATAAAAATCACTTGTGATCCTACTCGCTGGGATTTGGAGTATTCTCATTCATATTTATTGAACACTTGCTGTATGTTACGTTTTGGCTGCTCAATATTACATATAAGTTTTTTAAAAAATAAACTTTATAACTTCCATTTTAAATTTTCCCTCCTCTTTCTCCAGTGCTTTAGTCCTCTCTTGATTCTTCACTGTTTTATACATGTATACAATTTAATAGTAGTTACAGATAATAGTTATTAGCTATAGTTACCGTTATTGCACACTTACAGCATATTAAGCATAGAACTGGATGCTCTATATGTATTATCTCATTTAATTCACAGAATAATCCTATAAGAAAAAAGCACTATTAGCTTAAATAATCGCCTTAAGATCACACAAGTAGTAAGAGGTAGAAGTGGGTTAAGGACCTTGGGAATCTGATTCTTGGGGTTTCGATCTTAACCGTTATGCTATACTGCCTCACTTGACCTCACTTTTTTGCTTTTTGGTAGCTATTATTGAGAATTATTATTCTTATTAATTGAGAAATATTATTTCTTACTAATTAAGAGACCATCAATTTTTGGTTTTTTTTTGCACCCAATGACTGGTTCATTTTGGGACCAAATATTGCTTTCTTTTCTCCCCACTCTCTTTTCTTGAGCAGGTGTTGTCTGTTGCCCTATGACTTTGTATTTCCGAGAGTGATCTTTAAAAATCTAGAATAAATGACATACCTCTTTGGCTTTAAAACTTCTGTAATGGCTTTCCATAGCATTTAAAATGAAATAAAAACTCCTCACCCTGGCTCTATACAATTTGGCTCTTTCAAATGTTCTAATAATTTATTACATCACAGTATTTGGACAGAGAATCAGAGTGTCTCCTCTGTCTACCTTATCATTTCTGACATTAACAAATAATTTTAATTTTTTGGTAATTGTGAAAGTTACATAATCACCTTATAGAAGTTTCCAAAAAGAGAAAAGACCACATTTCCCAAACAATATCCCAGAGGCGCTTCTAGCATAAGCAACCTTTGAAGAAAAAAGAAATGACCTAAGACTGGGGATATAAAGAAATTAGTACCCTGAGGTTAAGAGTTAAGGTTTTTAATCACTCTAATGCTAGTTCAGATTTGCTTTTTCATTTACTGTATGCCTTTAGGCAACTTACTTAACTTCTCTAAGCCTCATGTTGTGTGAACAGGTTAATGAATGTATATGAAGTACATAGCACAATGCCCGACTCATAGTAAGTATTCAATAAATGACAATTTCAACTGAAAACAAATTTGTTTCAGAAGTTAGGACCTATGGGATATTTTTTATGGGCACAGATCAGGCATACGCTATAAACTTCATACTGTAGTTAGTAAACATTGAACATATTAATGGGCTAATTAAGGATTTGGATAGGCATACATAATTTATAATAAATTAAGAATACCAAGTAAGTTATATGCCTACATTTTTAATGTCGATATCATTAATAGCAGTTACTGTAATAGATGGTAGGATTGCATAGCAGAGGAACACAGGCACTTCCGGAGATGGTTAATAAAAAAGGAAAAATACACATTTGTCTTTTCCCTCAAGACTAATAAGATCTTATACATGAACCTAAAAAGTACCTAAGATTTTTGTCAGATTATAAACATGTCTGGTAATTCTATCAAGTGGTTATGTTCAGGTAGAACCTGAAATCTCATTTTTTTCCCATGAAGTTGTATCTAAAACTTTTCATACTCATTAATTGTTAACTTTTAGTTTCATTTGTACCACCTGTTTCCTTTTATTTATCTGCTAGGCAACAATGTTCTTTGTTTTCCTCATCTTAAATTTATCTGCTACTTGGGGCACCGTTAGTTTGCAGTATTTAATGGATGAATTTGAGTTTTTCCTTTAAATTAATTAAGTTCCAAGCTATTTTGAAAAGTTACCAAAATTAGTGATGTGTTAGGATTCCTTGGAAAATGGGGAATTTCACTAGATGAAGAGATCACTGATACGCAGATATGCAGGTGATCTGTAGAGCTGAGACGAAGCCAGGATCTTTTTAGAGGTCAATCTAATTTGCCTCTTTTTTTGCTGGCAAACACTGTAGTTTCAATCCTGGGTGCGTGGTTGTCTGTACTATTTTAAAATACTCTTGAGGATTTCTTTGGCATCCAGTTCTGTGTCTGATAACCTTACTTTTTTTATCTTGAGTGTTTTATCTTTTAGAAAAACTGTTACTGTGATTTTTTAAAAACATTTTAATTCTTATGGTTAGAAGTAAACATAATTATTCATTTATAATGATAATTGCTATTTGATTAATCTTATAAAGTATATTAGGGCATATCTCTTCAGGTTGAGTCACTTAATTTAAGAAAATGAACCACATTCTCTCTCTCCATGTTTTACAAGCATAAAACTTCACATTTACAGGCATTTTTCCAAAAGCCTTTGTCTAATCTTTGCTTGGATGAATTTATTACTATTTTCTGTGTATATTGAAAGATTTGTTAATGTGTTTTGTATTTAATATTGTCAGGTAAAATGAGTTAAAATGTGTTATTTAATAGTGGCATGATCAATTCATTTTCTTTTCCCCCAGGAGGATAGCAAACAAGCTCAATTTTTAGCCTTGGCAGTTGTATATTTTATCTCTGTTCTTATGGTCTCGAAGTACAGAGACATTTTGGAACCCCACAATGAAAGGCATAGCCAGTCATTTAAGGAATCTGGTAGTGAAAGTGGAAATTTATCACTCCCTGGTAAGTTTCCATGTTTTATTCCCTAACATCCAAAGTTCAAATAAAACATTACTACTTATGATTTAGTTAAGATACTCTTTCTGGAATTTAAATCCATTTATGTATAAAGTGAGAGCATTCATTCGTTTTTATTAGTAACTAAATATTTTAAGTACCATGTAGTTAATTGCAATTGGGAGATAATTTCTTTAATGAGCCATCTAATTGAAAGATAAGTGAAAAAATGTTATTCTTTACAAATAAAGTAGTAAACATTTTTATTTACCTTAGCATTTGGAGAAAAAGTAACTTATATTTTCTTATTAGAGACAGATTTGTTGACAAATAACTGTAATAATTGAAGTAGCTGCCAGTTATAAGATGTACAGTTAGAGAAGCAGCCGTTGTAGTTGTAGAAGTAGCTGCTTCCCAGCAGAGGTGATTTGCTTATCCAGTGTGTGTTCATTCAGTGCCTGCCAGATACTTGTTCACTATGGACAAAAGAAGAAGTCTGCCCTCATGGAGCTTATGTTCTAGTGAGTGGGTTTTTTGTTTTTTGTTTTTGTTTTTGTTTTACTTGTGGAAAAATAAATCACACTTTATTTTAACATATGCTGGTAGAAGCAGCACTTACAGCATTAAAACAAGTCTTTTAACAGCCTGGATCATGTGGAAGATGACCCAAGATCATGGTGGATTGCACAATAATGTCCTAACCGCCCCCCCCCCCCAAACAACCGCAACACAACAACAAAAAGAACAACAGCAACAACGAAACAGGAGTCAGAATTGATTTATGTTTCTGAAATTAACACTTGGGATTCTGTTTTAAGACTATGCCCTACAGGGCAAGGAAAATCAGTGTTCTGGTTATGTACTGCCATGTAGCACACTGCCTTGACGCTAAAACCACGACTGTTTTCGTCTTTTTATCCTGACTTTGTGAATTTGATTTGGGCAAAGCACACTGGTCATGATTCACCCCTGCTCCAGATGATGTTTGCTGGGGTTGAAAGCCTGAGATGGATCTTCTGCTCATGTATCTAGTCCCTGAGCTAGGATGGCTTCAAGAGCTAGGGCTGGCTGACTGCAGTGGCTTGTCTGGGTTTGTATGTGTGGGGCCTTGATACTTGTTCTCAGCTGAATTCTGTGGTTTTACTCCATTAGTTAGGAGGTCCTCTTCCTCTTTATGTGGTCTCTATGCATGTTCTCTGTAGCAAGGTAGCCAGATTGCTTACAGAGATGTGCAGGGATTCTGAGAATGCACAAGCTGCCTGACATTCTTAAAGGCTGGGCACAGACCTGGCCCAGTGCTCTGTCTCTCACATTCTACTGGTTAAAGTAAGTCAGGCCCAGCCCAGATTCAAGGACTTCTCAACGGGGTGAATGCCAGGAGGCATGGGCCTGTAGAACCATTCATGTGACAGTCTGACATAACCAGTTAGGGGGATATTGCAGTAATCTAGACAAGAGGTGATGTGGGGATGGACTAGGGTGGTAGCTGTAGAGCTGGCGAGACTCTGTCAGATTCTGGATGTGTTCTGATGGTGAGAAAACAGGATTTTAAAATATTGGGTGTGGATATGTGAAAGGTGGAAGGTAGTCAAGAATGATTATGAAGTATAGTGGAAGGTATAGTGGAAGACTGAAGGTAAAACATATTCAAGGAAAGATAAGAAACTCAGTTTTCAACATACTGAGTTTGAGATGTCTTTTAGACATAGAAGATGTAGAATAGGTAGTTACAGATAACAGTCTGAATTTTTTTTTCGACATAGTGGTTTTTAGAACTTTGAGAGTGAATGAGACCACAAAGGGAATAAATGTTGCCAGAAAAAAATAAATGGGGTAAGAACTAAGTCCCTCTGATTTAAGAAATCAGGGAGAGAAAGAAGTGAAGAAAATTGAGGAACAATCAGTGAGAGAGTTGATGAAAAACAGATGAGCGTGGTGTCCTGTAAGCCGAGTGAAAGCAGTGTTACCACACTGGAGAGAATAACTAGTTGCTGCAGCTGTGTCAAGTGATGTGAGGACTGAGAACTGACCATTGGACTTAGCATTTTTGTTGGAATGGAGTGAATGCCTGGCTGGAGAAATGAAAATCAAATAGAGAGAAAAGGTAGTGCTACTTATTGAACTAGCTTGTAAGGATCATTGAGTTATTCATGCACTGTAGGAGGGGTAACAAGTTTTTTTTTAGCAGTAGAAACCACGTTTGAGGTAGAGGTGTTGGGATCAGTCTCTGAAGAAATGCCCGTGTATAAAGGCACGGAAGCTCAAAATACGTCCCATGTTCAGCAAGCAGTTTACTGTGGTGAAGAATAACGTGCTATGGTGTGGGTAGCAGGAGATAAAGGTGGAGATGAATAGTCATCTGGTAAGTATTTACTGACCACCCACTACTTGCCAGGCATTGTTGTAGGCCCAGGCATTGTTATGGGTGCTGGTGATGAAATATTAAAGAAGACAAATTCGGTGCCCTGATGAAGTGTATGTCCTAACAGAGTCATATTATTGAAGAACCTTGTATTTTATCCTAAGGATTTTGGACTTTTTCTTGTCAGCCAGTGGCTTTCAACTCATTGGTATGTCATGTTCAGTTTGGGATTTTCTCAGATACTTTGTTATTATTTATTATTTTATTAAACTATCTATTTTGATGCTGTGTGTTTATGTGACACATTTTATAGATTATGTAATTTATTTTTGCCTTTTAGAACATGCCAAATATCTCATAATTTAAAATAGTAGACAGATATTAGGACAAAATTAAGAAGTCATATATCAAAAATGGGTTCTGAATTTTTTTTATTTGTATTTTTCTTCTCTTTCTGGGTAAGATGTGGAAAGCTCACCAGCAGCATCCAGCCCGTTATCTCCGGCATCAGTGGAGGAATCGGGAAGCACATCGTCTGCTCGAAGGAGGGACTCGGGCATCGGGGAAGAAACAGCTACTGGTTTAGGAAGCAGTGTGAGTGTAGCTTCTCCTGTGGCACCTCCAAGTGTCAGTGCAGGCCCCGATGCAATCAGTGAGGTGCTGTGCACTCTTTCTTTAGAAGTCAATAAATCTCAGGAAACCAAAAATGATGGAGGAAATGAGTTGGATAACAAGGCTGCACCGTCAGTTCCAGTTTCAAAAAATGTCAACGTGAAGGACATTCTCCGAAGCTTGGTTAACATACCAGCAGATGGAGTCACAGTGGATTCTGCCCTCCTGCCACCAGCCGGCCTTGGAGCTCTTGGCGATCTGTCTGTTGAACAACCTGTGCAGTTCAGATCTTTTGACAGGTAGTGTAAATAGTCTTCTGTTTTGGTATGCTTATAAATGTATAAATTATAAAGATTTACAAGGTAAACAGGAATTTAACTTCACTCTGCTGAATTTTGTAGCTTCAATATAAAAAAGGGATATTTTACCAGAAATTGACACAACATTGTATGTTGACTACAATTTAAAAAAAAAAAGGGATGTTCGATCTAGTTTATAAAAATTACAGGGATTTGTATATCATTTCAGATTTTTACTTATCAATATAATCAATAAGATGATGTAAAATAGTTTTAATGATACACTGGCAAGTTGTATTTTAAACAATTTTTTTCTTCATTACAACTTAGAAATCACCAATACTTATAAATGATTACCTTTCACTTCCCTGCTGTTGGTACTGTGCCAGCCTTTGTGAAAAAAAGTGGGAGTCTGTGGATTCCAATAGACTCAGGAATTCAACAAAGTGTGGAGAGTCTTGACAGCTTGAGAAAGCTGACTGCAGACTCTTGATGTGGCTGTCCTAAGAAACCTTCTGCTAATTTGCCTAAAATTTTTCTATGTTTTAAAATTTTCTGCAATTCTATCTGTAAGGCATGTATATATTAGAGTTATGAAACACATTCTTTTTCAAAACTCAATATTTTTATCTGGAAACAAGTTCTAACTTAGTATGAGAAGTTGTCAGTTAAAAGAACTTTTATTTTTCCTGAGTCATTTGAAGGGATGTGGACATAACTCTGTTACTCTATCTGTGAGTAGTATACTGTATATTTTCCATGTAGCCACAATACGTTTATCAAAATTAGGAAATTAATACTGCTATATCACTACCTTCTAATCTTCAAACAGCTTTCAAATTTCACTAATTGTCTCAGTAATGCTCTTTATAATAGAAGGATCCAATTAAGAATTATGTGTTGTTTTTTGTTGTGTCTCTTTATTCTCCTTCAGTCTGGAAGAGCAGCTCCTTAGTCTTTCCTTGAATTTAATGATCTTGACACTTTAGAAGATGAGAGCCCAGCTGTTTTGTAGAATGTCCCTCAGTTTAGATTTGTCTAATGTTTCCTCAGGGTTAGATTCAAGTTAAAGCATCTTTGGCAGTAATATCACAGAAGTGACATTGTTTCTTCCTGTTGTGTTGTAACAAGTGGTACATGGTTTTATCTCATTACTGATGATGTTCATCCTGATCGTTTATTAAAATGATGTTTTCTCCACTGTTAAGGTATTCCTTGTGAAGAGGTGCTCTGAGACTCTTATTATCTTCATCTAATGAATTCAGTACATTCATTATGGTCTCATGGTTTCCTATATTATTCAATGAATTATAATCTGTTGTTCTTGTTATTTATGTTGATGCTCAAATTGTCTCTGATTTGGCCTCTGGGATTCCCCTCTGGTTGGCTCTGCTTTCTTTTGACATACCATCATCATAATTTCCCTCTGTCTGATTGTTTATTTCTTTATCTGCAGTTCTCTTTATTTTATCTCATCTCCTAGTTTTCTGCTTCAGACTTGCTGACACATTGGTATACCAAGCTGGTTAAAATTTTTTATGGTAATTAAGATGCTCTGAAAGAACACAGGGAGTATATAATTTTAGTGGAAAATCTTTTTGCCATCATCCTCTGTCATCCTGTTCCCTCTACTTCTGTTGAAAAGTTAATCAGTGTCCTGGAATGAAGAGATTAACAAGAGTCTAAATTCCAGGTACATAGCACATTGGCATGTGTATAAAATGACATTATAGATACAGTGGCTGCTAGATTCAGTGTCTTTTTCTTTTTTTAATAGGCTTTGAAATATAGGAGTTAAAATATTGACTCTAGAAATCAAACAAACTGAGTTTGCGTTCTGGCTTTATTACTTATTAGTGAATGTAGTAGACAAGTTACCTCATCCTCTTGAGCTTCATTTTCCTTGTCCTTAAATCGTGTAATACCATATTGCCATTAAAGAGAAGAGAAAAGCAGAACAGTATGTACTGGTGTGAAATGATACTGAAGATGTACTAATGTAAAGCATTTAGCTTGGAGAAATTCATCAATAAATGTAAACCGAGCTGTCACATCTGTTGAAACCCTCAGCCACTGCTGTTCTCTGGTGTGTGCATGCGGATTGTATGGACACTAAGTATTTGGAATACATATTACAGATAAAAGGGTTGTATTCTCAGTATATACATATAATGCTAAAAAACGGATAAAATGACTAATCTAGAAAAACTGACAAATGACAGGAACAGGTAGTTCATAGAAGAGAAATACTGCTAATATGCAGATATGTAAAGATATTCTATGTCACAAATAATGAAGGAAATAAATACTAAAATAACCAGAAGATTGTTTCATCTGATTAAATTTGTAGAGATGTAAAAGATGGTGCCTAGTGTTAGTGAGGATATGAAGAAACATTTTTCTGT